ATTGGCTGCTGCTCGACGCTTGCTGCTTGCTGCGTGCAGTCTGCACTAGGCTATGCTCTCTGCTTCAACTGTGCGATGGGTCGCTGTCGCGACCTTCCGTCGCGCCAGATGGCGCCGCGGCGCCGCGTCCAGCGACGCGCCGGGAGTTTCCCGTCTCGCTGCCAGCTCGTTACTCGTCGACCCGTTCAATCTTCGCCCGCGTAAGCGCGAGAAATGTCGCGGCGATTGGCAAAGTGCGCGAAACCGTGTCCGCGTCCCGTCCCCGCCTCGCGATAACATCCGTCCCGCCGTCGTCACGCACGGCCCGATCGGCCCGGCCGGCCGCGCTATCGCCGCGTAGCCGCTCGTTTTCCCCAGCCGCAATTTTCACACGCGACGGCGGTGCACTGTGGGCCAGCAATGGTGGGCGCGTGATTTTGAACAATTCGACCTATCGAAGGAACGCGCAGGTACGTGTGTGCCGGACGACGAGGTGCGACGCGCGACGCCGCGCCCGTGCCGTCGCCCGTCCGCAGAGATCCTCTACGAACGACGGGGGGGGATCGCGGGGCCGCGCCGCGGCCTGCGAGCCACGATTTCGTCGTTCGACTCCGCTCGGTGGCCCCTTCCCTTCCCCCCCCCCGACCCGCTTCCCTGCCGATCGCGAAAACTGCGTTTGAGGTTAGGTCCCGCGCCGTCTCGGCGTCGCCGCCACGTCCTCCGCGACCTCCCGCCCGTCGTCGTGCCGCGCGCGTCGGGGCCCCGCGCGATCCCCCCGAGGGGCGCGTGGCGCGCCGCCTCGCGCGCGCAACTCGGCTGCGCGCTCGAAAATCCGCCTCGCAAAAATGGCGCGTTCCGCCGAGAAATGGCGCTGATGTCCCACGGCGGCTTCGCGCTCCCTTCGTACACGCACGCTCTGGCTCTCTCTCGAGGGGGGCAGGGTTTATTTTCCTTTTTCTTCTCTCTCTCTCTCTCTCTCTCTCTCTCTCCCTCTCCGCGCCCTTTCACGGCGCGTTCGAATTCGCGTTTGGCACGTCGCGTGTACGAACGCACGCCCGCGTCGAACGCACTTTGCCTCGGTTGAACGGCCGACGCGGAACGTCCCGCGATTTTTCAAAAGCGCGATGGAATTTGAATCGCTCTCTCCTCTCTCTCTCTCGCTCGCTCGTTCGTTTCGAAATCCCGGACCACGTTGACGAAGATTGTCAGCGCGAACGATCGAGGCCGCAGATAGATCGTGCGTTCGTCCGAGTAAACAAAATCGCGGTAGAGTGGAATGAACGTTCGGATTCTCTGCCGGGCGAGCGTGTGTACGCGTGTACGATTGCCGCTTGATTGCAGGCTTAATCAACCGACGTCTGTCCGAATGGCGTGCTTACGTCCGGCAATAACAGATTGTTGCTCCCCAGTCGGTCTCTTTTCTTTCGTAAAGCTTTCGCGAACGATTTAGTTTCGAAACTTGGACGAGGGTCGCCCCGCGCTTGCACATTCGCGGCGCTTTGCTTCTCGAAACTCGTCTCCTCGACGGAGGCGGCCTCGATTCGTCGCAAGATATATGTCTCGCCCTGGCACGTTGTACGGAGACGCGTCGGGGAATTGGCGCGATCTCGATTTAGAGTGCAAGTGGAATCGGTGTCGCACGAGCCGCTGTGGTTGCCGCGACGAATCGAACGCTGGGCCGTGAACCCGGAGCGCCGCTCTCGACTGACTCCGATGTGCTTTCCCCAGGTCTTACCATGTCTGCAAATAAAGGGCAGAACGCGAGGGCACTGGTGGAGCCGCTGGCTCTGGACTCGCGCACCCTGGGCGACAACGATCTCAGCGCGCTGAGCCTGTCCCACGGCGGCGAGCAGTACACGTCCAACGACTTCGAGGAGTTCGCCAACATTCAGGCGGAGCTGGAGTGCATGAACTCCGAGGGGGTGATGGACGACGAGCGTATGATCGAGCGGAACGTTGAGACTGATACGATAGTACCTGATGTCGAGATGACCGAGATCGCCGAGCGGGTGCAGACGGTACAGGCCGAGCACGTTTACACAATGGCGAGTCAGAACAGCCAGAACATCGTGTTCCAGACCAAGCCGACCCTGCAGCGGGTGCCGGTGTCGACGGTCCAAGTAATGTCGCGCGTTCCGCAGCGCCGACGCGACGATCCCATTCACGACGGCTTTTTTCCCCAGATGAAGCCGAGCGTCCAGACCACGCAGAGCCAGTCGATCATGATTGTGTCTCCCGCGAGCGGACAGGGCACCAGCCAAATCCTCAAGATATCCCACCCGCCGACGGCCTCCGCCGAGCAGCTGCAGTCCCTAGCCCAGACTCTGATCACCGGCAAGTCCGCGGACGGTAGCATGGTTCAGCTGAGGACCACTCAGCCCGCCAAGTCCGTCGCGACGACCAACGCCTCCGGGAATATCACCATCAGTAATATGAACGTCAAGATCTCGCAGCCGCCGGTGAAACGGACAACGCAGACCGTATCGCAAGGGCGCAATGTAAGATACAGATTTGTCGCCTTCGTCTCTTCGTACAGAGTCGTCCTCCTCAAATTGTACAATAAAATTCCAATTCAATTGAAACGAATTGTTACATACCTCGTATACGTGTCTCTTTGCTCGCGATCTTTCATCTTATATTGAAATTTTGTCATTGATTTTGTTGAAAACCGAAGCGTATGCGCGAGGACGGTCCTCTTCTCACATGGAGCTCACTCGTGTAAAGTTACACATGTTAGATTCTCAACTCCAACGCTACCTTTTGCAGGTGTACACGAAGATGATATTGACTGGAAATCAGCCGCAGTCTGGTACTCAGCAGGTTCTCATTACGAGCTCGCAAAGCGAGAACCAGCCGACTCAGGGGATCAAATTCCTCAACAATACCTCGTCTAATTACGGCAACCCGGCGAAAAACATCACATTGGCACAGATGGGTATACTCTCCAACAAGCAGCACATTTTGCCGTCATCCTCGCCGAAGCAGGTTCGTCTCGTGTTTTGTGCGATGCGGCTCTGTGAGAATTGTCTCGCGCGACAGCAGTTGTTACATGTGTCTTTTTATCTTCTCGCAGGGTATGATACTCAACAAATTGCTGCAATCGTCAACGTCTCAGCCATCGAAAGTAACCATAGTGCCGGCGAATACAGCAAAATCACCCACGAAGATTCTGCCTGCGCCGACCATGAGTCTTCAGGCCAAGTCCTCGACGACGAATCAGCAGCCCATATTCGTTACGGCCAAATCATCCACGCAGCAAAATCCGCAGAAAGTCATCATCAGACAGGTTGGACGATTGTGAATTATGATCAAACGATTCTTGTAATTATCTTCCGGTAAATTACACGGTAAAAATTCTTCCTTCAGGGTTCTCTGAAACCTGGCAACGTACTTGGAAGTGGACAAGTCATTAGAATACCTGCTAACCAGAACATTGTGACCGGATCGAATCAAGTCCATCAAATTCAGATGTCCGGAAGACAAGTATATCATCTTATAATTGATCCACAATTGTCATCAGTCGTCAAGGTGGATGTGTACATTGTCCGTTGTATTATTTCAGGTGCAATATGTGAGATTAGTTAGTACCCCTTCGACAGGATCTACCAATGTCGTTACCGTCGGCAAATCAAAGGCCAGCACAACACTTCAGACTGTAGGCATCGGTCAGAAAATAGGAAATCAACAACAAATTGTGAAGGTATACTAAAATTCGATAACATTAACCATCTTTCCGCGAGAAATAAGGAAAAATGTGTTTATTGCATGTATTTTTTTATTCTCTATTTTTAACCTTGGACATTTTATTAATAGTTTATAATATCTCAGATGCTACGTAACATTAAAAATATGGTTTATCGCAAGTGACGGTTTTTTCTTTCACGGTCTTCAGGTTGTGCCGCTGAATACCGGAAGTCAGTCTTTGAGAACTGTTGCGCCGAAGGTAACGCTGACGAGCGGCGGCCAAAAGTTGATCATACCTGCGACGGCTACTGCCACAGCAACTGTCGGCGGTCAGTCGAAGAATGCGGTGGCAATCCCTGCGTCGGCGTTGAGCCAATTAGCATCGGGACAGGCGGTTCTGTCGACCAGTCCGAATGTTGGAAACATCGTTGTTTTACCTGCTCAATATATCCAACAACAGGTTCAATATCCATTTATGTCCTTGCTCATCCAGTTTCCTGGCGGAAAACATTTCTATAAATAACTACAAAAAAATTGACTCAAAATAGAAATTTGTAGAAATTTTTATATCGTCGTTGAAACATTTGTCTCTTTGTAAAAATATCTATGAAATAGTATCACAAATTACAATGTTCTCAAATCAAGAAATTATTTCAAGTAGTATTTCATGAAAATGTACAATTTTGTAAAAATTAGTACAAAACTTTACTAGTTTTAAAAATTTGAGAAACAATGAAATCTTAAAGAACTAAAACATCTGCTTACTTGTAGAATATTACAAAAATTAACAAAAGTGTTCCAATTCTAGCATTTTTATGTTGATTTTTATAACACTTTTTAAATTTACGTAGAATTTCTTAGATTCTGGCAGTTATATTTAATTTTTTTGTAGAATTTTGTAGAATTATTTCCGGCAGGGTTGCATGCCTTTCTTTCGCGTGCTAATTAAAAGTATTAAAATTTAAATAAGTCCAAAAACAAGATTCAATACCGATTCTAAGAAATCTGTAATTTTGTTACCTTTATAAGATATCGCAATTGATTTTTATACTATTTTTCGGAGAATATACAGAGTGAGTCGGAAACGTTTGTTCTTGGAATGTCATGCCTGACGTTTTCTTTTCACAAGTTTTATCCGAAGCTTAGTTTCTAAATTACATAAAGGGAAATTGTTCGCTTATCGCGGGTTGAATACCAGAGATAGGTCGACTCAACAGCCGACACGGCGCACTTGTGCGAGGCGCCTGCTATGATTAGCTAATGGTAACAAATGCTTGCTCCGAATCATTCTGTGTATCCCGTATATAGTTTTGAAAAATTTACATATGTGTATTATACATATAAAATATTATTATTCCATCTGGGCAGTCGACAGATGAGACAAAATTGAAATCCCACCAAACAACGCCAGGTCTCTTAGGAAGTTCACAAAGTTCTACAGCGACTTTTTGCGTGATTGATGGAAAGAATTCCCAAAGAGGCGTTTATGGCAACGTGGAGCCGAACGGCATTAGGCCAAGAAAACCATGTAACTGCACCAAGTCCCAGTGTCTTAAGCTGTAAGTATTTTGTTGCAAAAGAATCATGCGGTATCGAAAAATTTCATTCAACTATTTACAAATACATATCTTTTGTATAGTAGGCTTTGGATTTTCACTTTCATTTGTTATTTTCATAACTGACAGTTAAAAGCATCGTTTTACCTAAAAGCCTTTATTAAGATATAACATTCCTTGTGGAAAAGATTGTTGCACTTTGAATTTAATTGAAGTAAAAGGTAAATCCTGCAGAATTACAGAAATATATAAATTGTTTTCTTAGATTTCCAGAATTAATTGCAATTTACTTTTGTATTATTAATTTATTATTTATATTTGAATAAAATCTAAATAGAAATCTTTACGTTACAGTTATTGCGATTGCTTTGCAAACGGTGAATTTTGTCACATGTGCAATTGCAATAATTGCTCAAACAATCTTGGAAACGAGGAAGAGCGACAGCGCGCAATTAAATCCTGTTTGGAGCGCAATCCTAATGCCTTTCGACCTAAAATCGGGAAAGGCCGTGAGACTGGCGAGGATATAAGGAGACATAACAAAGGTTGCAATTGCAAACGTAGCGGTTGCCTTAAAAATTATTGCGAATGTTACGAGGTATTTTGAACAATATAAATATTATTCAATTAAGCTTGTACACGTACTTTTTTCTTGATTTGTCATGGAAAACGTAACAAGATATGCGATTAAGTTTTTTTATTACGTTCCTACATGCACTTCCTCTTGATAATGTTCACGGTAATTGTTCACTCAATAAAATGTCTAAAATATTTATGACTCACGCATTTAAACAATGATTTTGCAGTAAAAGTTTTAATATCAATATCTGGTAGTTTTAAATATCTTCGTTGATATGAGAAATACAAATGCGTGTTTCTCTTTCAGGCAAAAATTCCGTGCTCTGGAAATTGTAAGTGTATAGGTTGTCGCAATATTGTGGATCCAATTTTACAGAAGAAATCTCTAAAGGACCTGGTGGAAGCAGCCGAAGTCAAAACGACTCAGCTTAGTCTAAATAAGGCGCAGCTACAGTTGTCCGAGATGGCGTTTAGACCTCCTGCAACATCCAACACTGGCACAAGGTTTGTATGAGAGAAATGTATAACTATAACATTTTTTTTACAAATGTAATTTTACAAATATAATTTTTATGAAATCTCGCTGTATTGCAGACGTATGACATAGCACGTACATTTTAATTTTACATATTTTGATATATATATATATATATTATATCTACGTTTTTGTTTATTATAGACAACCATTCAATTTTCTGACGGAGAAGGTAGTAGAGATAACATGCCAATGCTTAATGGCGCAAGCCGACGAGGCGGAACGCAATATGTTTGACGACGAGACATCGCAGCGTCTCATCATCGAGGAGTTCGGCCGATGCTTGCAAGAGATCATCGAGTCGGCGCACAAAGCTGAAGCTACTTAGCAGGTGCACTTGCGATATTCGCATATATATTGTATAATTTTCATTTGTCATTATTGATTATGAGATTGGAATATAAATAAAGATAGTATAATGTGTGTTGGTACCAAAGACGTTATATCACACAAGATGCGAGAGGTCTTGAGAACTTTTTGAACTCAAACACATTATTCTTTAAGCGCCTTTTAAAGCGAGTCTGCGACGAATAACTCCGCGCGTGAATTTGCTTCCGAGTAATATATGGGAATGATATAAGCTATAAAGGAGCGAGTCGCTCTCACTTTTGGACTAAGAACAAAAATGACAATTTTATAATTTATACATCGGTGTAAGGTGTTTTTGCTGTGCTTTAAAAATTAATAATCCGTTGACTTTTTAATTTCAAATAAAGTAAAAGATTTGTCGATTTGCTGACAAATGAGGGTTCTTTTAATTTTAAACCTTTCTTAAACAGATGTATGTCACACATGTTTGTAAACGAGAGGCGATAGCTCACCTTGCAGTTCAATTGCTTGATCATTACCATTTAACAAATTTACAGTGTTCAGAGAGGATAAATATTTCGTGAATTTATCTCGTCAATTTATCAGTTGTATTTCATATATTTTTAGAGATAAATCGTTATATTTGCGAAATAATATATATTAGATGCTAAAATTAGAATTATTATAGCAGAAATTTCACCGATCCATATATACTTTCCTTTATAGTTTATTTAATCGCAAAGAAGAGAAGTGTCTACAATGCTTTAAATCACAGTTGTTACATAATATCTTAACTAACAATAGTACAAATATATAATTTTCTTGTGTGTCTCAGAACATACATAAAACAATAATATTAGTAATGTTAATACGTCAACATTATTAATATGACATAACAACTGCGACTGTAGCTATATAGTATTTCTCTTCTTCTAATTGTATATTAAAAAGTCTTTATATATTATTTTCCACCGTATATCCTTATTTAATTGTGAATATTATTAGGTGTCTTAACAGCACTATAGGTATCGAATAAAGCTCTACTTTCAGTAAAAGGTACTTGATATTACATACGAAAAATTATGTTATTCGTTAATACTCTTAAAACTTAATTCATTCTTAGTTTTCAATAGCTTGTAACTTAAGTTTATTGACGGCTCGATTGTCGATCGAAACAAACGACGCCATTTATTTAGACTATAAGAGAAAATATACGATGTTTGAAGCACCCTGTGTTACATACAAGTGTTTATATATACACATATACATCCACGTATATGTATATGTATATATATAATACGCACACACGTCTATTTCTCCAATAAAAATTCCACGATCGAAAGTGCAGCTGCAGTTTATATAGTTATATTTATATTTCACATTATATTATATGCATTGCGATTAAAATGTACAGTACGTCAAAATCGCCTCTGTTGATTCGTCTGCGTCCACCAGGAATATTACTATTTAAATTCTGCTCTGATAACTTGAGAAACGATTTATTACTCTTTAATCGTTTTTTCCCCCCCTCCCCACTTCTCTCTTGATGTTCAATATTTACATAAGAATATTTTAACACGTTACGATCCGCGTAACCTTAAGTTACTGGCAATATACTAATGATAATGAGTCTGTTGGTAGATTACAAAATGTTAATCCTCGAAATATCAAATTAGGGAGTAAGAGATTTTTAATTATATGTAATATTTTTCCTATATGCGCACGTGTGGCGTATATAATGTAAGATGTATCGCAAAGAAGTCTTGTTATTAAAAGCTATAGTATTAACAATATTATGTTCGCTATGTGTATCATAAACATTGAATCCATATTTACAATTGTTTTTACAATCTAAATTTGTATTGTTAAGAAATCATTTTTATACACGGCCTGTACGCTATGCTTCAAGAAATAAAGAATTTCAGGTTTCAATGCATGGAGTAAGAAAAGTTTTCAAGAAAACTTTTGTGCAAAAAAAAAAAAAACAAAATTGAAGACTCGAGACATTTTTCTGGCAAGTGTATATAATTCTTTCTGTATCGATAAGAAAAACAAGATATAATACAAGTTCGTAAATATATTGTAAAGTGTATCGCTAAAATTTTATGATCTTATTTTGAAGGGGTTTATTGCCGTCGCACTTCTCTTTTGCGTCTTTCTGCAAAGATTCCACGGCAGATTCGTCCATCTTTTCCACTGTGACTGCGTTGCCTTCTTTGGCATCCACCAAATCCGGACAGTCCTTCTTCAAGTGTGTCACAGCCCCGCAAATTTTGCAGCTACCACCGTGGGGATAAACTCCTTTAGGATTGTCCGGGCATTGCGCAGCAATGTGACCCTGCTCCCGGCAGATGAAACACTTTGCGTATCTGTAAGTAGAATCCTTGTTGACTTTGCACTCGAAGTGAGTGTGTTCCGTTGAGCCGCACTTGAAACAGATGCCTGTGCCGGTCTCGTTGTGATCGAGCTCGGGACAATCCGACAGATTGTGCCCGGACTTGCGACAATTGAAGCAGACTAGTTTCCTGACGCGCGTCAGGGCTTTCTCAGCCCTGCGTCTCTCCAGCTTCATCGCCGTATCCACCTCAGATTTTGGTATACCTAAATAATAATAGAATTTGATGCGGATACCGTTAATATTACCATTACTCTTAGAATTAAAGTCTTAATTATTTCATCAGCAGGAAATATAGAGGAAAGTCCCCTATTATATCAGATAGGCTCCTAATATGAGAGCGGAGTTTCTGCTAAATTAATTGGCATCGTCTGCTGGTTCCACCATGAATTTATTGTTTTCGAAGAGAATGTTCTGTTTACCGGAAAATTGATTGTTTAATCGGGTAATCGTTGCGAAAAGAGATTTGTTATTGAATTTGGACGTTGAAAATCCACTATCTTATATTAGATACCTATCTCATAATAGGGGACTTTACTAATTGAATCCACAGATACTGAGATTGCACTTAAAATTTCAGTTTTCACGCTTGAAAAGTTCGAGGAAGTAAAGAAGAAACATCGAAACAATTCAAATGGAAAACTCTGCATATACAGGGTAGTCCTGAAATAGTTGGTCAAAATCAGGGATTGGATTGGGCTCGTCAAAAGGATGAAAAAATTTCCCATTAAACGTTAGTCCGAAAACGTATTCTTCAGGAGTTACGACTCATTTAATTATCAATCTCGGAGAATAAGTGCATTTAAAGTTTTCATCGTACTTACTACGATTTGTGCTTTTTTAATTACTGTGTTCAATAAGTAGCTTAATCGAGTGATCTGTTGTCACAATTAAAATCCACTATTATTGTTCGAGCACTTAAAAATTTAAAACAGCAATTTCGAAATACGCTAGGAATCTTTGAGCACGTTAGACAGTCAATGGTTAGATGAGAACACGTGTTTTCGCTAAAAGTGGATATTTTTAACAACTTTTGTAAATAAAAATAAAGTTTGTCCTCTTATAGCCTTCGATTTTTTTAAAATCAGGTATCAATAATTAAATGAGTCGTAACACCTGCGGGATGCGTTTTTGGACTAACGTTTATGGGAACTTTTTTCATTCTTATGACGAGCCCAATCCAATCCCCGAGTTTGACCAACTATTTCAGGACCATCCTGTATAACGTTTAACGCAAACGTACACGCATGAGGTTTATTTTCTGTTCATGCACTAGTGAACTAGTGCAGTAAGGTAGAATGAGAAAATACATATATGCTTGTCTTACTCTAATTTATTGCACTAGTTCACTAGTGTAAGAACAGAAAACAAGCCTATGGTTGGGAAGTAACGCGTTACTTGTAACGCCTTTTTTTTCGCCGTTACTTTTCTTTGGTAACGAATTGGTAACGGCGTTACATTATTTTTCTGTAACTGTAACGGTAACGCAGTTACTTTTTCTTAGTAATGTTAACGAATATAACAGTTATTTTTATCATTATTTTTCATATCTCATACTTTATCAATCTTTTATATACCCACACAGCACAGAAAGATTGCAGAAATGTTACATCGCAAGATTGCAATATTGCAGCAACGTTGAAATGTCCGCCCTCAGAGAGATTGCAGTGCAACATTTATAGCAATGTTGCAGTGCAATATTTTTGGAATAATTTGTCGTTGTTGTACATAAGCAGAGAATTTACTAATTACATATGCACCCTTTTTCAATACACAGTAAGCTATTGCGAAGCAACCTAAGGAGATTATGTCGCTTCGCAATAGATGGAGATTGCGAGCCACACCGCACTGATCAAGTACTTAATAATTCGCCCATTATTGGTATCAACGAAAATAACATTATAAAATTCTCGTAATTAGAAAGATTTTTTAAATAGAAAATATAGTATTTTTATTATTTTTGAAACATTGCTGCAATATTGCTATCGAAAGTTTGCAATTTTATATCCCTGCAATGTCTCTGCAAGATTGCAGTTTCTGCAACGTAACTGCAACCATCTGTGCTGTATGGGTACTTTATGAATCGATCTTCAAGTTTTGATACTGTATGTTATAAAACTTATAAAGTTTTAGACGCTAGTGTGCAAGTACGCAATATATAGGATACAGCGACGATATCGATAATCTTATCCAAACAATTCTATAATCAAAATCCTATAATAAACCTTGTAGTTGCATTTCAAGAACAAATTTATTTCTTATTTAGTCTTGTCTCTTATCTTGTTTTGGCACTAAAAGTAACGAAAAAAGGAACGAATCGTTACTTTTTAAATAATGGTAACGGTAATTAGTAACTTTTTTAAATTCTGTAACGAGTAACAGTAACCAGTTATTTTTAAAAGGTAACTTTCCTATCCTTGCGTATACGTACCCTTCATTATCATTTTCCGTTTAAGTTCCGCTAATCTGTCGGCATCTTCCTTTTTCACGGGGAATCCATCGTACATAACAATTTCGACCTCAACACCGTTGATTATTATTTTTGTGACACCGGTATTTGGCTTTCTCCTTTTATACTCTCCCTTCTTCTTTATCCTTTCCTCCCTCGTGATTGCATTGCCACTCTTGACTGGAGCATCTCTCTTGAATCTCTTGGATCCGTCGTTAGACATTTCCAACTTCCTCTTCTGATTCCGCTTCTGTCGTTTACTCAACACAACGTGACTTGAATCCTGTGGAACCCCCGGCTTGCCCGATTCTTTCTCATGGGATGTTGAATTTAGATTGTCGATGGCTTGTTTCTTTTCGTTTGAAAACTTGCTCTTCTTCCTGTCTGTTGTCTTTACATTTCCCGTTGCTTGCAATTTCTCTACATTGTTATCACCTACGGATGCTACTTTATTTTTCGATTTTTTTACGAGATCGCCATTTGACTTGGGATCCTTATGTTTTTTTACGTTAGTCTTGGGTCTGTTGTCTTCAAATTCCGCCCATTCCTGAGTGTTTTTAGTGCCGCTGTTGAGGGGATCCTCGCGTTCTTTCAATAACTCCTTCGCCGATTTTTTCTTCTCCAAAGGTACCTTGCTCTTGCTCTCCTCTAATTGTTGTTTCATTACGTGCCATGGCGTAGCCTCATTCGGTAGTCTTTCGTTTGAAGCTTTGGATCCCTTCGCTCTTGCAAACCTTGTCATTTTTTCTCACGCTGAAAGAAACGCACGTTTACTTTAGATTCTTTATTCGCCCGGATTTGTTAAAGAATCGTACATGTATTGTGATTTTCACATTAATTCTTGGTTTGAATTCTCTGATTCAACTCTTGATTTTTAGCAAAAATATTGACTTTAATACTCACATATCGATTCTCTTATTGGAGCACTCGTAGCGTTCATTCATGCACCTCAAATACTCTCACGTGGAAACTGTGGTCACTTTGGAGTCAGTGATGCAAACTTTGGGCACAGTATAACTAGAGTCCCTGTAGTAAGAGTCTGGCAAGGGTGACGCAAAATGGCGTCTGGTCTGTTCGTTATCGCTGCATTACTGCACTAGTGCAGTAATGCAGCGATAACGAACAGACCAAAGGTAACCAAATCACAAGTGTGGTGTATTACGTTTCATAAATATTGTGGATTATAAAGTGATACAGCAAGTGACACACAAGTACGTAATATAGTATTATAAAAGATAAAGTATATAGAAAGAGTATAAAGCATATAGAAATATGTAGAAAAACATTATAATGCATGCTGTCACTAAAATCATTTTCAAACCATTTCTTAACCATAAAGTTACATTCAATGTTCATTATAAATTATATAATTTTTGTAGAAAATGCCTGGTTGTTGTGTACCTCATTGCACCAATTCCACTGAAAAAGGCTTTTCGATGAGGCGTTTCCCATCAAACTTACAGCGAAGGACAATATGGGTGAAAAATATTAATAATCAATCATCAGAGTGGCGACTAACTAAAAACTCATATGTATGCGAAGTAAGTAATAAAATTGTATATTAAAAATAGAAATATAATGATAATTTTATATAATTTTTGCAGACCCATTTTTCGGCAGAAATGTGGGAAAAAGTGCGCGTTGATGGCAAAAGGAGGCTAAAAAACAATGCGGTTCCAATAATTTTTCATCTTCCAGAAAACGGTGGAATTTCTACAAGTGATTTTTTTCCCATTGAGATTCCTTCTACATCATCATCGAAGCGTCTTCTCACAGACATTGACACAATCGATACAAATGCAATAAATAATGCAAAGAGGTTGCAGAAAAGTACAATAGACGAAGTAGATGTTCCAACAGATGACTCAAAGATACTTGCAAGTGACAATATAAAAGGACCGAGAAGAAACCTGGATGAAACAAGTAAAAAATTTGAGACAATTATTCGTAAACAAGACAGAACAATTAATATTCTTCGGCAGCGTATACGACAACTGAGGAATTCTATTCAGTTACTTAATAAACAAAGGCCCCAAATTCTTTTGGCACCAAAGTTCTTACAAAAAGTATTTAATAAAGATCAGATAGAATATCTTAAGGCTAAATATGAAGGACGCCATATATATAAATGGACAGGTGAAACTATTAAAAAAGCACTACGGCTTAAACATGCATGTGGAGATAATGGATACAAGGAATTATTACGTCAATGTTTTCCTTTGCCTGCAATTCGTACCCTGCGTAATCGCCTGGAATGCATTTCTTTTAAAGATGGAATTTGTGATGAAGTTTTCGATTTATTAAAAGAGAAGGTATCAAACTTTCCGGATGAACGACATAGCGATTGCATGATTTGTGTTGATGAAATGAGTTTGACACCAGGTGAATAAATAGATCCTTGCACCAATCATACTATTGGATATGCTACAATTCCAGATAAATTTGGTAAATCCTTTCCTTAATTTAAAAGTATTCTAAATACTATAATTACTATTACAATAATTACTATTACCATTACTATAATTTCATAAGTTTTATCGACCTACACTGGCTATAGCGATTTTTTTTGACCGTATCAGGCTATTAAAATTCTTATTGCGAAAAATATTACCCCAGCAAGGATTCGAACCTGGGACCTCCCTACAATCCATGACGGGCGTCTTAGCCAGCTCGACCACCGGGGCTGTGATAATACTATTCGCAATAACGTGTATGGAAAAATTTTGTTGAAAACGTAATGAAATTTGCTGAAATTTGGTTGAAAATCTCTTGCAATTGACCCAATTTCATTATCATTTCAACAATTTTTCATTAAAAAATTTATTTTCAGTGAAATTCTGCAAATTTCATAATACACATTTCAAAATTTTTTTCACTAATTTTTAGTAATATTAATTAACTTTCACTAATTTCACAGTATTTCATTGAATTTCATAACGAAACTTATGATTTATTTTGATATTATCAGGGATACCTTGATGGAAAAATTTTGCTGATAATGTAATGAAATTGATGAAAAGTGAAATGAAAGTTATTGGAAACTTGTTGAAGCCATTTCAAAATAAATCATAAGTTTCGTTATGAAATTCAACGAAATACTGTGAAATTAGATGAAAGTTAATTAATATTACTAAAAATTAGTGAAAAATTTGTATAAATGTTGTATATTATGAAATTTGCAGAATTTCACTGAAAATAAATTTTTTAATGAGAAAGTGCAGAAATGATAATGAAATTGGGTCAATTGCAAAAGATTTTCAACCAAATTTCAGCAAATTTCTTATGTTTTCAGCAAAAGTTTTCCATCAGGGTAGGTATACTGAATGTTACTCATTTTTAATGGTTTTATTTATCTGAAATATATTCATGAAATGTATTAATTTATTTGAAATATAAACCACCTTTATTGGTCGGATATTGAAAACGACATCGAAATTATTATAAGAAGAATTCCTTATGAATTGCACGACGTTATCGTTACAACAGGTAAGCATTATTTTAACTGTCACTTGTATATAAGTACTACAGCCTTTGCAAAAATAACTTTTTATACGTGCTATCTGCTTAAAGTCTTGCAATATGAAATAAAATAACATTAGAAAAATGATAATTGTCAATATAATGTATAATGGTAATTATAATGAATATAATAAGTATTAGTAATTATAATTGTTATAATTTGTTATACTACACTGGTCAAAAAAATTAACGCAACAAGAAATTTACATCAAAATTTCGCGAATTTCAAATAAGCGTTACTTTGCGAAAACTGGTCGAATTGAAAAGTTTTTTTTTCATTTTATAGGGCAAAGCCTCTGCTTTAAGAAGCTCTTATTGGAATTTGCATTCATTCTTCCCATTTCCCGGAACATTTTCAAAATCAAGATCATGTTTTTTCTCTAAAAAATTGCACACTTTGATGCACTGTACGGAGTGTAGTAATTTTTCTTCGCCAGTTCTGCTTACGGTATCAAAAAGTGTATACTTTTCTCTTCAATTAAAAAAAAAGAAGTTCCTACGATTTTTTTTCGCCAAATCACAGCTCATTGAAATAACCCTTGTGTTTTCGACATTACCGACGATATCTTCGTTAAAAATCATCGTAGCACGATCGTTTTTTTAAATT